TCATAGTCATTATCAAAGAGAAATTTTGTGCACACAAGTAAATGAAATAGCATTTAAATATTATTATGACCATTCTAAAATTTACAACAGATGAAATTATATTCAAAGACTCCAACAGCCCTCCCCTTCTTTAATTGTCAAATTTGATGTTCAAATTTCTTGCGATTATATGAATGAGTTTTGAAGCAAGTTGAACTTTTATACCAAGTATTTAGAAAAACAATTGTACAGATCTTATCTGCAGAATACACAGGCACCATCAAAGCTTGGATTGAGATGGGGGTAAACATTAGCTGCAAACAGAAATTTCAGCTAAAGGTGATGTCAGACATTGTCTTGGAGGTGCCCTTGCCAGAAGCCTCTACTCCAACTTTGCATGCCCACCCTTACAAGCCACACTGTGGACACCTAGAATACAAATCCTTCCAGAGCTCCATAAGTTTGTGAAATTCCAGCTGAGTTTCCACTGGGATGTCAGAAGACCTTGGATGAAGATGTGGGGAGCAGACACATAGAAATTATTCAAATATCAAAGAAATCCATAAATTTGGGGAGCTTCCCTGTGGCAGTCTCACTGAAATGCTAAGGAATTAGCCATCCTCTACATATCCCAGTTTTGAATATGGTACAGTAGGACATCTGAACTTTCTGAAAAGAATAATATTTGATTGAATGGAGCTGATTTGATTCCTAGACAGCAGTAAAATAGCACTTTCTAGGAATAGAGCTTATAGTAGGGTTCTCCAGAGAAACAAAGACAATAGTATATAGATATCTAGTGCGTGTGTGTGTATCTAGAGTGTGTGTCTGTGCACGAGTGTATGTGTGTGTATCTAGTGTGTGTGCATGTGTGTATGTGTGTGTGCATGCATGTATGTGTGTGTATCTAGTGTGTGTACACAGGTATGTGTGTATCTAGTGTGTATGCGTGCACGTGTGTATGTGTATGTAGTGTGTGTGCACGTGTGTGTGCACACAGGTATGTGTGTGTATCTAGTGTGTGTGCACACAGGTATGTGCGTATCTAATGTGTATGCATGCATGCATGTATGTGTATGTAGTGTGTGTATGTGTGTGTATCTAGTGTGTGTGTGCACACAGGTATGTGTGTATATCTAGTGTGTGCATAGGGGTATGTGTGTGCACGCGTGTATGTGTGTGTGTGTGTATCAAGTGTGTGTGTAGTATGTGTGCATGCATGTATGTGTATGTAGTGTGTGTGCATGCATGTATGTGTATCTAATGTGTGTGTGTGCACACGAGTATGTGTATCTAGTGTGTGCACATAGGTATGTGTGTATCTAGTGTGTGTGTGTGCATGCGTGTATGTGTATGTAGTGTGTGTACAGGCATGTATGTGTGTGTATCTAGTGTGTGTGTGCACACGTGTATGTGTGTATCTAGTGTATGTGTGTGCACGTGTATGTGTGTGTAGAGAGAAGGAGGGAGGCAAGGATGGAGGGAGGAAAAGAGAGAGAAATATTTTTATGCAAAGTGGCTCATATAATCACAGTGGCCATGAAGTCACACCATCTGCCATCTGCTAGCTGAGAACCAGGAAAGCCAGTGGTGTGGTTCAGTCCAACTCCAAAGGCCTGAGAACCAGGGGAGATGATGGTTTAACTTCCAGCCCAACTTCAAAGGTCTGAGGGGGGACAGTGATGTAAGTCTTGAAGGCAAAGGCCTAAGAAACCAAGAGCTCCAATGCCCAAGGGCAGAAAAAAAATGGACATCCCAGTTCAAAAAGAGAAGGGTGAATTCACCCTTTCTTTTTTTTTTTTTCCTTTTGCAGTTTTTGGCCAGGTTTGAAACCACCATCTCTGGTATATAGGGCTGGTGCCCTACTCCTTGAGCCACAGGCACCACCTGAATTTACCCTTTCTTTGCCTTTTGTTCTATTTAGGCCCTCAACAGAGCTAAGGATGCCTGCCTACATTGGCAAGGGCAGATATTTACTCAGTCTACTTATTCAAATGCTAATCTCTTTCTGAGACACCCTCTACCTCTACATTTTACCAGCTCTCTGGATATCCCTTAGCCCACTCAAGCTGACACAAAATTAACCATCACAGAGCTCCAACTGAATAAACAAGAAATGGACATTTGCTAGCGACATACCCAGCAACTGGTCTCTGCTTTGCTCTCCCAGAGAGTACTCAGATTTTTCTTCTGGTTAGCATCTTCTCCTCAGAGTCCATGCTTCCATGAGCCCTGGAGCTAAACTAAACAAGACAGTTATGCATTACTTAGTGACAAGAATATGTTCTGAGAAAAGCATCATTAGGTAATTTCACTGTTGTGCAAATACCATAAAAGTATATTTATACAAACTTACATGGTATACATACCTAGGCTATATGGGATACCTATTGCTCCTAGATTACAAACCTGTACAGAATGTTACTATACCAAATACTGTAGAGAGTTGTAACACAATGGTATTTGTGTACCTAAACATCTCAAAACGTAGAAAAGGCACAGTAAAAATACAGTATCAGAGATTTTTAAAAAATAGTACACGTGTATAAAGCACTTACCATAAATGGGGCTTGCAGGACTAGAAAATTCTGAGTCGGTAAGGAGTTAGTACAGAGACATGAATATTGATGAGACGGTCTATTATCAGAAGCTCTGAAAAAAGGTGACAGACAAAAAAAAAAAAAAAGAAAGGAATCTGCCAGTAAATTGTATAAGATTGATTTTTGACTGGCATCAATATCAGAATTCTGAAACACAGAATCAGAAGTATTCGGGTAGACACTGTTCAAAGTCATGTAAGCAGTTGATTTCAAAATGCATCTAACAAAATAAAGATGGATGGATGGATGGATGGATGGATGGATGGAAAGATGGAAATATGTCTATATATATATGATAAAACAAATATAGTAAAATGTTCAAGGTAGAATCTTGGTGGTGGGTATGCAAGTATTCACTATAGCTGTCTTTCAACCTTTCTATGTATGTTATTTTTTATAGCAAAATTTGAGTAAAAAAAAAGAAACAGAATTCATCATGTTGGTAGTTATTAGCCCCCATCAGGATTCTTGCCCTAAACTGAAGGCACAGGAAATGGATCAGACATTCCAAGGAGAGGCCTGTCAAAAGCTATTCATTTGTCTAAAACATATAAGAAATATTTTTTGAGTTGCCATTTGGTAATAATCCACTTTACCAACCAAGGTATTAAAGAGAAATTGATAGAGACTTGAGTGTGAAAGCCCAAAGTAAGAGGTTACCATCCCAGTTTGAAAATCAAAGAAATGACATTTGAAAATGACTATCACAATGATTAAATATTTCTATTTGGTTGCATGAACATCAATTCCCATGTTCAATTTCTCACTTGGAAAACTGAGTGATGATAAATGGGACCCTTCAGTGAAATAGGAAAAACACACAAAAGAACATATTTGTAGGAGGTGTCAACTTTTGAATTTGCTTTTGGCATCTTGTGGTTTAGGTGTTTATGTTGTATCTAAATTGAGATGTCCAATAGGTCCAGAATTCAAGAAAAATCTGAATATTGGGAGAAGATAGGGGGTCATCATCATAAAAAAATGACATGGGAAGTCAAGACCCTGATTAGGATCATCTAGAGAGAGAGTGTATAGCGAAAAGTAATTATTCTTTTTTTTTCATTATTTTACCCATCCATCAAACTGTCATTGATTATTAGAACCAAAGTAAAAAGCAACAAAATGTTTTTCCAGGGTTCATTGTAACTTTTTTTTTCAGAGACTTTCCTCATCTCACTATTTTTTTTTAAATTTCAGGTTAATGTAAGGGTACAAACAACTAGGTTACAGTATTTACTTTTGTTAGGTAGAGTCCCTCTTGTAGTTGTGTCCCACACCCAAAAGGTGTGCCATATACCCTTACGTTGCCCCCATTTAGGGGGAGCACACCAATCCCCTCCATTTCTTGATGGCCAAATCCAATTACCTATTTGTAGTTCCAAATGTGTTTAGCTTCTGTACAGTATTTACATAAGGTTAGATTCTCCTTCACTGGAAAGCTCTCCTCTGGTGACATCTGGTTAACTATTCTCCTCACTTCCCCCTTTCAGACTGTACCTTTCAGGCTGAAAGGTACTGAAGCTTAGAATTTGACATTCACAGGTATCCATCTTTGGTCCTTAAATCTTCATCTCTAACTCCAATTCTCCCACAGTTAGGCTTCAGGTCAAACTGACTTACATTTAACAGCTAGTTTAAAACTAAGAATTGTGTTGACAGTACAACATGAGCAATACTGTCCGCCTTGGAGACAGATTGACCAGATTTGCGAGAATCACAACTGTCTTAATCCCTTTTAGTCTGTTTTCTCATATCCTGAAAATGGTGACAAAAATATTTGATTTGCAAGGCCACTGTTGATTAACTTATCAATGCAAAGCACTTAGCGCCACACACTTATGATCTATAACTTCAGAGAAACACGACAAATTAGGCTACATTATAAATACCCTTATCAACCTGACCCGTGTAAAATCTGTAACACTAAAATATTAACTCCTATACTAACACAAATACTACCTGGTTACTCAGGTTGCAGGAACTGACTCGCTGTTTTAGAATCTCTCAACAGCGTCAAGGACTAGCGAATAGAGGACAACATAATTCGCAAGACTTCTTAAAGAAAGGGCTCAGCTTAGTTTAGGGGCGGAAACTGAAAGTGAAACAAGTCCAAACATATCCCGCCGTCTACAGCGGCTCAGAGAAGGGGAAGTGAGAACATGACAGTTGACGAAGGAGACATAAAATCGCAAATAAAGTGGCAAATTTTATCTTTCGCGCTGGTTCTCTAAGGACCAACCGCACTGATTTTCCTTCATGCTCCGCGCAACTTCCGTTAGCGCACTTTAATTACGTCATGCGTCAGCTCTCGCGGTATCATCAGGTTGCAGCGGCCCTTTAACAAAAGTCTCGCGAAATTTCTTTCACGGGTCCAAGCTAGCCTCTCAGACTACTTCACCCCACCCCACCCCACCCCCAACCTGTCCTTCCTTTCTCTTCCCAAGTCACAAAACTCTCCCCTCCCCTTCCTCGAACTCACAGCCCTCCTCCTGTTTCCGATTTCAGACCGGAACCGGAAGCGTTGTGGGCGGGGCCGGCAGCGGAAAACGCCGCGGAGCCAGAGCCGGGACACGGCTGTGGCTGCTGCCTTACGCCCGCCACGGATCGCTGGGTGGCAGGACTGCGCGGCTCCAGGCTGAAGGTCGGTCCGGAAGCGGGTGGGCGCGGGTCTCACCCGGATCGTCCCGGCGGCACCGTCCCTGGGCCCCCCGGGCGCCGCGAGGGATCATGTCTACAGCCTCCGCCGCCTCGTCCTCCTCCTCGTCTTCGGCCGGTGAGATGATCGAAGCCCCCTCCCAGGTCCTCAACTTCGAAGAGATCGACTACAAGGAGATCGAGGTGGAAGAGGTGAGCGAGGCCTGGCCAGGAGACGCCTGTCCCGGTCCCACCGCCCTGCCCAGTCCTGCCTCTTCAGCCCCTCTAATTCACAGGACTCCTCGCCCCAGGATCCGCCCGGGAACCCCCACAGCCCCTGGGAGACGGGGTGTCGGGGGGCTCTGCACTCAGCTGCTTCAGCTATCTTTTTCCTCACTTCGGCCGGTTGAGTTTGCATTTAATACTCCGGTGCCTGGGTTTAGGTAACCTCTCACCAGAATGAACTGGTGAAATAGAGTGGTCTCAGTTCCCGTATCTGTAAGTAGTGAATTCAGCGAAGACCACAGCTGTGTGGAAGTTTAAATTTGCTAGACATGGTATTCTTGAGGGACAGGGATTCTATTATGTTTGACTTCTAGCTCAGCGCCTGGCACGTAGAGGATGCTAATAAATTGTTGTTAAATTAGCAGATCCCTGAGTCAAAGTGCTTCCCCTCCTACCAAAATGTTCTCATTTTCTTCAATACCATAGAGCAATGCTCATAATATTTAAATGTTCTGCCTGCAGTTGGGCTAATTTAATGAATTTTGCCGTTGCTAACAGAGAGTGATTTGCATTGAAAAGATTTTTCACGTAGACTATTCTGAAAAGAAATAACTAATGATTTCGGTGACAGGGAGAATACAACATCACACTAGAAATCACTCTTAGAAAACCAGAATCCATTCTGAATTTGGCAAAAATTTGTTTATAGCAAGATATTTCAATCTGCCTTTAAGTGTTGCTTCCCTTCAAATTCACAGGGAGGTAGATTGGTTCTAAGGACTATAAAATTTAGAAAAACAAAAATTATTTATGTTTTAAAGGCACACTTTAGGACTTGTTAAAACTTTGGTTAAAAATAGCACCTACCAGGGGGCGGTTCCTGTGGCACAAAGGAGTAGGGCCCCGGTCCCCTATGGCAGATGTGGGGAGTTCAAACCCAGCCCTGGCCAAAAACTTCCAAGAAAAGCACCTACTAGTTACCATTTATTTATCGTCTTTAAAGTTTCCAACATATTTTGCACTACATGTAGCATAAAGAACCTTATGTATCCCAGTGAAATATTACGAACTCTCAATTGTGTCTACTTTGAAAATCTAAAATTACTTTTAGGTAGCAGCAAATCACAAGTAGTGAGGTGATTAACATATAATGAATAAGTTTTTCTTCCCATGAATGCTTTGGAAGATTAAGGGATTACTGAATCATGTATTTTTTTAATTACATAGAGTAACTTTAGGTCATTGAGAGTATCTTCATTTTACAAGGTAATATAGAGGGAAGAACAGGTCTTTGGAGTTAGAAGGTTCAGTATGTCACATATGCCGCTTGCTAGGCTGTGCGATTTGGGGTACGTTTCCTAACCTTTAGTTTCCTTAACTAAAATAGGTAACATAGGGATAACAATTTCTGTTTCATTTTATCTGTATAACAGATCCTAGTAGAAAATACATACAAAACACCCAAAATGGGCTCAGCGCCTATGCTCAAGTGGCTAGGGCACCAGCCACATACACTGGAGCTGACAGGTTGGAATCCATCCTGGGCCTGCCAAACAACAATGACAAATCCAAAAAAAAAAAAAAAAAATAGCTGGGCGTTAGGGCTGGCGCCTGTAGTCCCAGTTACTTGGGAGGCTGAGGCAAGAGGCTTGCTTAAGCCTAAGAGTTTGAGGTTGCTGTGAGCTGTGATGCCATAGCACTCTACCCAGGGTGACAGCTTGAGACTGTCAAAAAAAAAACGCCCAACATGGTGCCTGACATATATTCCCTATATTAGAAAACTTAGTTCCCAAAGAGGAACAGTGACCAGCTTTAAAGTTAGATGACTAAGAGAAAATTTGTATTTTGAAAAGAGGGTGAAATGGTTTTGGTGTGTTCTTTTTTCTGTTGAGGCTATGATAAATTCCTTTTTCAGAAGTGGATAGTTGATCCAGCTTTCATGGCTAACATTCCTTTTTAAGAATAAAAATTCAGTGAGTCAGTATACAAGAATTGCAGTTTTTAAATAAGCATTTACATCTACCCTGTGGTGAACTGCTATGCATGTGAACTACAAATTGTTATATAATAATAACTTGTATTTTATCATCTACCAAAAACTACCTCATTTGATTTTTATAACCTTAGTTTTTCTGTGCTGCTTTCTAAAATTTTTACCTTCTGGCTGTGTGGAAGAATGTAATACGTTACTAAAAAGACATTTAACATTTTGATGCTCTGCTCCCACAGTTATTTCACATCTGATTAGGTTTTTGTTTCCAGGGCCCATCTTTCAATCTGGATGATGTTTCAGTGTGTACGTGTGTGTACACACACATTTAGGACATTCCTGGGGAGAAGATTTTTATTTCTAGAAGAAAGTCTATTTCTAATACTAGACAGTCATTTAGAGGTTTTTTGGTTTGTGTTCTTTTCATTTTTTAACACCCAATTTATTTTCACATTAAAGGTTGAATTTGGACCTTTCTGACATTGACAGCATTACTTAGTTTCCATTATACTCTTCATTTGCACACTTTTAAACAGTGTTGTATAATCCATGAGACACCCTTGACATCCAGTATTTCTCAACTTAGATTCTACTTGTAGATTAAATCATGATCAAGTGGACAGTGAAAAATGACCAGAAACAAAACCTATTTTACGTTGCTTTCAATGTATTATACAAGTGTATTACCTTTTAAATTGAGAAAATCATTTTGTATTTCTCAAATAACAAAGTTGAATCATATTATACCAATATAATTAGAAACTAAATAAAAAAAATTTTAACCACAGACCAAATAATGTAATCATTTAGTGCATTTCTAAGGCATGTGTATTGACTTAATTAATATAATCTGCATTCCTACTATTGTAACTCAATATTAGTTTAGGCACTTCTTAAATTTAATTCTGATATCGAATTATGTAAGTTCTCAGTCTCAGAAATCTACCTAGATACTTTTTAAAAGTCATGTAGTTTTTACCATTCCAGATATGGATATAGAGAATGTTAGAATAAAAGAATGTCCATTGGGAATAAGGTTGTAAGAAACAGTTAAGACAGCATGATGTAGTAGAAAGTGGATTGGGCTGAAAATTAGGAAATTTAAATTCTGTACTGATTTCTGGTATAATATGCTTCTGTAACTTTGCACAAGTCACCTAACTTTTCTGGGCCTGTGATTATTTGTGTAAAATGAGGGGTTAAACAGGATCATTGAAGGCCTTTTCCAGTTCTAAAATGAGAAGACTTTCATTGTTTCCAGTATTTATGTTCTGTTTCCACAGTAAGCTTATAAGTTCTTTAAGGACAGGATCTCTTACGGAATTTAGTTGGCGACCGGCTAATTCTGGGAAGATAGGACAAATGATATCCATTTTACAGATATTAACAAATGGTCATGGAGTTTGATTTGCCAGAAGCCACAGGCCTAAGTGAATGGTAAAGCTGGGAATTGAGATTGAGATTTCTTACTCACGAGTCTGTTGTTTTTTCCACTGTATTTACAATGCCACTTTGGTTCTTTCTGAAGTACTCTATAACTAAACCTTCTGGGAATGGGGAAATAAAATACTGATTTCCTTTATAGAGTATTTGCTCCTGAATATTTAATAAATGCTCCTTTCCATGTGTATAACTGCTAAGGTATATGGAAGATGAATAGAAGAATCCTAGGACTCTCTCCTTAAAATGTCTGACTTATGAGACAAGAATAAACACAGAGCAGTTAATTATGTTTTCAGAACCACAAATTTAAACTAGTGAATACAGTGTAAATTGAGCATTTAGGCCATAGTTTGAAAGTAGGGTTAATCACAGAAGACTCCATTGAGTGGGGACAAGTTTTAAACTAGATTTTAAATAAAGTGAACATCATAGCCTGCAGAAGTCACTGAGATGAATCGTCTTTGCGATTGTTACTCTACCTACAGTGTTCTTCCGCAGAACTTCCCGTGACTGGCTGTGAACGTCACTTCCTTGCTTTGCTGAGCAACCTAGATCTTTCGTCATTTCTTTCATGGCATTTAGCAGTAACTGAAGTTGTATATCTTCCTCAGCAAACAAACGTAAGGTGCCTTATTCACATTTGTGACCCCGAAGCCTGATACCTAGAAGGTTCTCTGTAAATTTCTGAATAGGTAAAAGAAAATTTTCACAGTTTAATCATAAGAATTAAATGCCCATCTGGTTCTCTTGCATTACATGTTGTAAAACAGGGATTAAGATAAGCTATGTTATATGACCAACACAGTACCTACAGAAAGGAGATCTGGTTCTTATTCCAGTTGTTGATATCATTACACTCCATTATACCTGTACTTAGAAAGACTCTGGTTAGCAGGGATAAAAGATGCTGTGCAGGGCCAGGTACTATGAGCAAGCCAAGTATTAGTGGGTCTTCACTAAAGTGCTGAAAAGACCCGAATTACAAAAATTGCTTGTTAAAAGGGAGACCCCATTATTAACCTCAACTGTAATGTTGAACAAGAATACAGTATTAGATACATACATATAGTCACTGTAGCATTTATATGTGTTCTTAAGCTTCATTAAAGAGACACATAAAGATTTTGTTTTAAAAGCTAAAATACAATGGGAAGGAGAGACATAGAAAGAACTTTGTCAGTTTTATATGTTTTATAGGATTAGGTTATAAATATATGGACAACTGATATTAGAAAAACCTACTTTGTAGTGGTCTGAATAAACTGAGTTTGTAGATTCGTTAGTCTCTATTAATTATTTATGTCAAAAATTATTAGTACCGTCTTTCCTGTAAAACTTAGTGACTGTTGATTTCAGTAGATGTCTGGAATGGTTACTATGGTAAAGGTAGCTACAGAGATGATTTTTGTATTGTGCTTGTGTAACTTAAAGGATAACAGCTTATTTGAAAGAAAGACAGTAAACGGGTCAGATATATTATGACAAACTTTAGAAGACTGCTTGAAAAATTCAGAAGAAAGTTTGAAAAATCAAAGCTTTACTTGTATGTTATCAA